CGATTTATACAGATAATCAGACAATAATAATATTAATAGAGAGTTACTTTCACTTTCTCTTATCTCTTATCTCTTAGATGTTTATCGATAATAAATTTTGTTGATGAATAAGATAATAGAAAATGAATAATACTGTCCGTATAAGCTTTGGTGTTAATCAGTATCCAACAATTAAAAGTAATCGTTTGATAAAGCTCAACTAAAATGATGTGAATGTCAATGTCAATGTCAATAAAAAAGAAGAACTACATTGAAATCCACTCTTCGCTTAATTCTCATTTATATAAACTGTGATTATTATTATTATTATTATTTTCAATATTAATTGTAATCGAATTTAATCGAAGAATTTGAATAATTCTTAGTTGATATCTAATAAGAAATCTTGTTTGTCTTAACAATTTTGGAATAGAAAGAAGTATTAATTATTGACAATTGTTCGTCTTCGAGTTTTAATAGGATCTATACAATCTTGTAAACTGAAAATATGTTATGTTGCTAAATTTTGAATTAGACTCTCCGATAAAAAATAATATAAGAAAATTGTTTAGATTTTATATGTTGTTAACGATACAATAGAATATAATAATAATAATTTTCTCTCACAATTTTATATTTATTATATTTAAAATTTCTATTTAGTTTGAAAACTAGAACTAAACAACGTGATGGGATGGATCTGAGTATGTCGGTGTGAGTATTATCTCACCCACAACCACAACCACAGTCTTCACATTCAGAATTTCGAGATGAAGATGAAGATGAAGTTTTAATTTTACCATATTCATAAATTTCAAATAAAAATAAATGCGGAAAATTCGGATTTTATCCGAAAGTTAGGTGTACTGCAAAAAGTGGATCAGGCAGATGAGTTATTCTATTAGAATGTCGGAACAACAAAATTATCATGAGACATTAATCAATCTTTCTTTTCTCACAATAGAGGTATTTGTGTTGATAAGCAAAAACATTTAACCTTTTATATAAAATGAAAGTCCTCGTCGTTAAAATGGCAAGATTAGAATATTAGCGACGGTTGAATTAGTTTGGGGGAGATACTCAACTTTTAGCGTATCTATGGTATAGGTTGAGTGCAGTTTTTCTAATACAAATCTAAAATAAAAAGTCAAATGACATTTTATTTTTGCCATCAAAATGCAAAATGAGACTCTGTTCTTTTAAACAAAGTGTCACAAAGTTTCCAAGGTGTTGATTGTTAGAATTAGATAAAAACACAGAAATATTTCATATGAATTTATCAGAGCTTTCCTACTGGTGGAAAGGCTCACATCCCAATTTTGGGAAATTTACGTTTTTGACAAGCAAATTTTCAGTTTTTTCTTCTCATTACTTCTAAAAACATCACTGGAGTCTATGAAATCCGATCGAATCTAGAAATATCTCTCAATCGATCTCCTGAGTCATCGATCTCTTTCCCTTCTCTTATACCTTGTAGACATTAAGACTACGGTCGTACTTTAACTTTAAAACTACTTTGATACAGTACGTTCAGTTAATGGTAATTAATTTAAGCTTTAAATTGAATTAGATTTTTTGACAAGATTTTTTTGCAAAAAAAATGGGCAGTACTTTACTTTAAACACGAAAGATATATTTTGTATATAGAAAAATGTTTGTGGGCTAAGACACTGTCTAAAGTAAATTCGTACCAAGCATTCACATAGGTTGCCTAAAGAGCAGTGTCAAATATGAAAGAGTAACAAGTTTTGAAGACAGGAAAACGTTCCAATCAATCCAAAGGTTAACTGGTAGATATCAGGATATCGAATACATTATTATTAATCACGAAATTTAGAAATTACGAACTTGCATAAGATGAAAATCAAAGTGTAAATTATTTAAAACAAGTGTCTGCTTGACACTTTGTTTTCATGAGCAAAGTGTAAAATAGAGTGTCAATCAAACATGGCAAGGTTCTTGGACATTTTGTGATCATGGTGAACCATTGCTGTTAGAAACACTGGTTGAGTGTTCACAATTGAAAATTTCAATTGAATTTATTTTTCTATTTTTCATAATGAATGGATGCAGATCGACAAATTGCGTTAAACAAATTTTCTTTCAAATTTTGAAGAAAGTTTTTTAAGAAAATTGCATGTGATCGGAATTTTGAATCTATTAGGTTATCTTTGAAAATAGTAGTAAGTTGAACTCTTCGCTTAATTTTAAAAAAATTTTTTAAGCTTGAAACATACTTTTTCCTAACATAACTCGAAGAGCTCTATCTAGTCATCATCAAGAAAAGACAAATAAATTCGATTAAAATTTTCAATTGTGCGCATCCAATATATACCATAGATAAACTAAAATATACAATGCTGAATTTTTATTTCCTTTGACTTTCGAGGACTTAATATCATTCAGAAAAATAAATGATATTCTTCGTTCGGGAATCAAACTCATGATATGATAACTGGTTATCCGGACCAGTGCTCTAACCATGAAGTTATCGAAGCATGGCTAACATATAATTCATTTGTCTGAATGGTGTTAAATCATCGAAATTTTAACGTCGACACGATGTGTACGACGCACCTGGATATAGCGACGCTATTTAATACCAAGTGAAATTGATGGTGAATTTTATTCTTCTCTTATCAGAAGGTAAATATATAATGTTAAGAGATAGAAAGGAGTATGTGTAAATATACAATACTGAAATTTTACTTGCTTTGACTTTCGATGATTAACATCATTCAGAAAATAAATGATATGCTTCGTTCGGGAATCGAGCCCATGATATGATAACTGGTTATCCAGACCAGTGCTCTAGCCATTGAGCTATCGAAGCACGACTAACATATCATTTATTTTTCGAATGATGTTAAATTATCGAAAGTCAAAGCAAGTAAAATTTCAGTGTTGTATATTTACACATACTCCTTTCTATCCTTTAAAATTATATATTTACCCTCTGATAAGAGGAGAATAAAATTCATCATCAATTTCATTTGGTATTAAATAGCGTCGTACACCTTGTGTCGACGTTGAAATTTCGATGATTTGGCACCATTCAGAAAAATAAATGATATGTTAGTCGTGCTTCGATAGCTCAATGGTTAGAGCACTGGTCTGGATAACCAGTTATCATATCATGGGTTCGATTCCCGAACGAAGCATATTATTTATTTTCTGAATGATGTTAATCATCGAAAGCAAAAGAAGTAAAATTTCAGTATTGTATATTAAAATTTTCAATTGTGCGCATCCAATATATACCATAGATAACTAAAAGTCGAATATCTCTCTCAAACTAACCCAACAGTCACTAATACGTTTAACTTATTATTTTGGCGATAAGGGATTTTCATTTGACATTAATATGTTTAATATTTTTGCTTATCAACGCAAATACCTTCATTGTTAGTTCAAAAAGATTCTAGAGTCTACTCATATTTTGTGAGTACACAATAAATGAATTAGCAAAAACGAGAATCTAGTATACTGCTCGGTTAAATATTAAAAACATTCGTGCATTCGATAAATTAATTTTAAAACATCTATCTTATTTAGAATTCTTCAATAGCATGGATATCTCTGATCAATCAGATGATGAGTTTCATGACGCAACATACGATAATATATTTTACGATACAACCTCTGAGGACATGCGTCTTGAAATTTGCTGTCTTATCTGGCTTGATTCAAATATGACTGCCAAAGAAAATCGAGACACAGAACAAAGGCTTCGCTCTATTATTAATCGTTATAAAAAATTTCAAGATGTAAAAGAATGTCAAACATATATTGAACATCAATCACAACAAGATCGCATAGTTATGATTACGAGTGGTAGTTTAGGGCAAGAAATAGTTTCTTCAATTCATAAACTTCGACAAGTTATATCAATTTATGTGTACTGTATGGATAAACAGCGGCATAAACTATGGGCTAACAAATTTCCAAAAGTAAACATTATCGCCATTCGTTTCCATAATTTTCACTGTATTATTTTACTTTGTTAATAGGTAAAAGCTATTATAACACAAGTTGATGAACTTATTTCTTGTATTAAAGTTGATCATAACATTCTGAAAATCGTGGAAGAACCATTAGCAATTAATATATTTACTACAGGCACATCGACAGGTGGCGTAAATGGTCAATTTATATTTTCACAAGTGCTTATTGATTGTCTTCTGCGATTGAAATCTACTAGTAAAGATCAAACTGAACTTATTACGATTTGTAAAAAGGTATATGAAGGTAATACTTTTGAAATGACCAATCTTCATGAATTTGAAAATAAATATTCGCCTACAAAAGCCTTATGGTGGTACACACGAGATACATTCTTTTACAAGGCAATTAATGCAGTTTTACGTAGCGAAAATATTCATATGATATTTTTATTTCGTCAGTTTATTTCTGATATTCAACACCAATTAAAAGAAAATCAAGTTAAATTTCCCATAAAAGTTTATCGAGGTCAAATGATATCAAGTGATGAATTAAAACGTTTGAAAGAACATTGTGAACAGTTTATTTCAATGAATTCATTTATTTCTACTAGTACTGATGAGCAACAAGCTCGTGTCTTCCTCAGTGTTCCTAATGGTGCAGTCGATTTAGAGTCTGTATTATTTGAAATTGAAGCCGATCCTAGCACGGTGACTACAAAACCATTTGCTGATATTAGTCAAGATAGTGAATATCCTGGTGAATCAGAAATACTTTTTATGCCTGGTTCAATTTTTCGATTGGAGAGTGTCATGCAAAGCAGTGAGAATTCTATATGGATTGTTCGAATGAAATTATGTAGTGATGATGATCATCATTTAAAAAAAGTTCTTACACATATGAAACAGCAACTTGGAAATGAACATACAAATCTTCAAACATTAGGGCGACTACTGTCAGACATGAGTAAATTTGATTTGGCTGAAAGATACTTCGTGCGCTTGTTAGAAGAATTGCTGCAAAATGATCCTTTACGTATAGATTTGTATCAAGATCTTGCTAGAGTAGCATCACAGACCAGTAAATTTGATCAATGTATGGAATGGCGTCAACAGGCTATTGCACTGGCAGAACAAACAGGTAAGTTCATTGAAAGAGTATTTATTGTAGAGAAACCGATATCTAATATAAAAATTTATGTTTTATTAAGAAAAAGGTAGTCATAATTGACTGACGAAAGTGAAATTCTTGAAAAGATATTATCAAACTTTTTGAGAAAAATATCAAGTTTTGTTTGTTCGTTAACACACCAAAAAAGCAACGTGTCGCAATTAGCGACACGAAGTGCTTGTTGCAATACATTTTGAAAACATGGTTCGAATCTATGTGGCATGAAACCTTTCATTTCTTTTATTGGAAAATAAAATTATAATATTTCTTTAAATATTTTTTATTTAAACACTAATAGTCTGAAATCTCTAGCGGGTCAGACCTACAGATCCGACCAGTTTAGAGTTGGTCCGATCTCTATCAGACCACTTCATGGTAGTCCTCTCTCAATCAAGGATCGAGATCGGCAATGTACTTATTGACTAATAAATAGATGATGAGGAAATCGTCCAGGAAAAAAAATAAATAAATGTAAATTTCATGCATTCAGTCGAAATATCTATATCTAGCTGAACGTGCAAAAGAATTCGGTGAATGAATAGATAGTCGATAGAACGCAAAAGAATATATAGACGATACATTATGACCGCGAGACATTTTACTTTTGTGTGAATAAATCAGTTTTGATTCTTAAAATAATTAATAGTTAGGATCTAATTGGTAGAACTGCGTATTTCATATTGTTAATTTTGTTTTTAGGATCGACTTTACCAGATGACTGTCTTTGAACGTTTTGTTTATTGTTAATAAGCTTAGTAACACACTCATCCATTTCCAACTCGGCCACTAGTTGTTTAATTTGATAATTTGAACACTTATGTTCATGTTAGAATTATCTTTTTCAAAACAGTTACACTCAAGACAATTTTCGTGTTATAGAACTGTATTGACCAATATGCTTTGATTTTCCAGTTATTTTCTTTGTCTACTGGAAAATTAATATCATTGTTTCACTTCCAAAAGAAGCATTTTTCGACTATTTACTTTGCATTTTGCATGAACTATTCGTCTTCAACAATTTTCTTTGAAAAACAGAAACTGTAAGAAAATATTGGAATTAATATTTGTCATGTTTAGAATGAGATTTTCTTCTAACTTTTGAGTCATTCATGTTATAATTTTTTTTTATTACCTAGAGTCATCTTTAAACAATATGGATCCTAGCAACATTAAAATGCAAGAAATACTAGGTCAATTGAGGTCGCCGATGACACTAATGCATGATTCGCATGAATTCACCACACCTCGATATTTTTTCATGTTACCGCTAAGGTTTTATGACACAGATCCCATAAAAGACCCAGAGAAGTGGTTCCGTATGCATTATAAGCTCTACTTTTTATGCGAATGTTCATATGAACCAAATGAAATGCATGTTTCACCTCACGACGGTTACGTAATTCGAAATCCAAAAGAGTTCATTATCAGATATGGACCATTTTTAAAAACAACTTCATATATTGTACGAGCTTTGATTTCAGCCGGACGCTTTTCTTTTCCACATCTTGACAAAATTTCAATAGTTAATAGCAGTACGTCATCGGTCAATCCCAACATCTCTGAATTTTATAAAAGTGTAGAACAGCAATTGGAATTTACAGATATTTTAATCAATAAGTTTGGCAATCAATCAACATTTTCAGACTTTTCAATATCTGGCTTGAAAAAAGCAATGGCAGTTATACTTCCGAATGTAGAGCGACGGGAACTACAAACATATCTAGATCTTGCAAATAATGAATGCAGTCTAGGAAACTTATATCGAGCCATTACTACTGACGGACATATCCGCTGGGTGTGTCACAATGACTATGTTGGGGTTGGTTTCAATAATGCAATGACCTCATATATTCAGAACTTCAAGGCTATGGGAGGTAAATTTGATGAAATAGCTTATAAAGCAGTTGTACAGCAATTGGAAACAACTAACGAAATTGTTAAGATGTTATGTAATACTCTTGCAAAAGGTTTTAATATGGCGGAGTTAACATTTCAGGATTGTTCATTCTATGAAAGCGATCTCGATGTATTATTCGATACAATAATGAACCGTTCTTCAGTTCGGCGTCTAAATATGATCAATGTTATCGTATGGAAGTTTTATGGAATGTTTAAGTACACTTGCCAAAATATAACCACAGAATTCATTAATCAATCATTGAAAATTCGCTGCCAAGACACTGATCGATATGGAAACGTAAGAATACTTGGTCAACTTCTATTGCAAAATAAGACATATCGAAAAATAGATTTTTATGCGTGTGACTTTTTCGGATATGAAAATCGACTTTGGCAGTGTCTTGGAGTTAATGAGACTGTGACAGAACTGACTGTGGGATATTTGAACTATGATAAGATCATCAATAGTATATTTAGTTTGAAAACCAACACACTGCGTCAACTAAACTTAATTCATTCTCTGTACACATCATCAACACTATCTTGTTTCTGTAAAATGTTGAAGAATAACAATACGCTTGTTGAAATCGATCTAATGAATGATACGGGCTTCACTGATGAAACGTTCGTTGCTAATATTTTGGATATATTTAAAAATCACAAATCCATCAGACATGTTAGTGTGAATATTGAAGATATACAACCATCGAGTAAAAAAGAAATATGTTTAGTAGATTCCTTGCAAAATAGTAACTTTATTTCATGGCTCCAAATAACAGCATCGGTTGTCTCACAAGCACTTATTAATGCAGTCATTAGTGCTTCGACAAGAAATAATACATTGACACGTTTAAACTTTTATCATAGCGAAGTTACGCAAGATGACACAAAGCGACTGCAATCGTTGTACGATAATGGAAATTTAGTTCAACTAGTGTTTTCGAATTCACCAAAGAAAGGTAAAATTTATACGAAGCCAGATTGCGTTAGGGGAATGAGCGTAGTTCAAAAGTGTAGATGCACATCTTTAAATATCAGTGATTCTGAATAGTTCCAAGTATTTCCTTACAGACTCAGTTTCCGATCAAACACAAAGTCAAGTTTTTTACACCAAACTATACTTTGCGGAGAACATGATCTTTTTATTTTTATCGAAAAATTAAAGATTGACTGCAATTAGCCGAATTGCTATCAGTAATGATAGACATGCGTTTTGATAGAAGATTTCGTATCATGAAGCTTGTTGAATATAGAAGCAATTCATTACAATTAGGTGTGAAAAAAAATTAAACGATATTGATTGAGAATTGAGGAGAACATTCAAATTTACTATTCAAATCGATCCACTTTTGCACTACGAATGCAAGAAAAGTCAAAAACGCATAGATAGAAAGAGTTGAGAAATACATGCTTTAGAATAAACAGTAAGACTATGTTAAAAATAAAAAATATTTTCGATAAAAATATATAGTTTGATAGTGAAAAGTATGTCCTATTTCTTTGTATAAATATAGAAAATTTCAGTATCTAAGGAAAATGCGTTAATCGAAAAAAATTACTAGAGATCTGCTTTAAAAAAATCTGTTGAATTTTTCGATAGGCTATGATGTAGACAAAATAAAAACCGAATAATTAGATAAAGCAACTAGAGCTCTAACAAGCTAAGATAAAACAAGGAAATTCTGAGGTTTTCTGAAAGTACAAAAAATAACATGAGCACGCTGTAATCTCTCAATAAAAATAAACAATCTTATAGAAAGTTGACAGATAAATAGCATTTATTGCATAATATGTTCGTTTACCAACTTACGACTTCAAAGCATGAAATTATTTATACACAGTCTGGTCATATTCACATGTGTTTTTCATTTAAAATACAATTATAGATCACTTTGCAAGAATTATCTGTTGCATTTTCGCAGAATTCTATGATGATTATCAACAATTGGATGCTCATAGAAGACTTGAATTCTAATCCAAGGAGCATAGTCGAAGTGAATGAAGAGTAAAATTCTCAAAATAAATTTAATTTCACCAGAGAAATTCACAAAAGAAAATGTACCTCTTTTCATGTCGTACAATTGAATCCACAAAAATGTGTACAATATAAAATAAAGAATTTCCTGAAGAGGTTTCTCTTTATTTTAGTTTAGAACATCTGAAAGTTCAGCTTAGTGCTATGTGTAATAATATATAAACATTCAACTGAACACTATATGCGTAAGCGAGAAAAATGCTAAATCGAATAGTGAAATATTTATTCCTAAGCAGATCACCAAGAATACATGAAAGAGCGCTTAAAAATGAAACTTCTAAAGTGCAAACACTAGCAAATCCTATTCGCTCGGTGAGCATTTCAACTAGCTTAGTTTCTCAGAAAGCATTATTAAAATAGATAAAGTTAGGCGATGATATTCACCAACTCAAAATTCGGATTGACATACCTTCCGACTCAGTCAGAAAAACTGATTTTTAAAGTTTTATTGCAATGAAAAGTAATCTGTTGATAACAGACGCTGATATTTTAAGCTTTTTATGTAAAGAAACAAATATAGTAATTTTAATTAGTGAATTTCGGCGAAAATATGTCTATTTCATATGGTTCACTTAAAATATATGAAAGATCTAAAAATCTCTATTTCCGAGACCATCTATAGAATAAGTAGATGTTTTCCTTATTTTGATAGCAATCTTTTAATCGACTCCTGATCTTCGTAACAACATTTTCTTAAAAATTTCCTATTTAATTGTATCAAATTGAAAGATATTCGCATTCATTCATTCGTTCAACACATTGTCATTATCATTAGTCAAATGAACAAATATAAATAAATCATGGCATTCTTAGTATCTATAATTCTAAGCCTTTGCAATAGAAACCTCAATAAAATGACCCTTAGATAAGCATTTTGAAGAGTTTTCATCAAAATCCTCTTCAAAAATTTAATAAAAATGTCTTCTTCACTGGTCTCTAGTGATTTCTGATATTCCTTTAAATGCAAAATGGGCACAGAATGGCGTCACTGTAGCTGGTGGTCACGGAAAGGGCAATGCTACTAATCAGCTCTACTATCCTGAAGGTATTTTCATTGATGATGATCAAACGATAGTCATCGCTGACTGCTGGAATCATCGTATTGTCCAATGGAGAACAGATAATACGAATGAAGAAGTTGTAGCTGGTGGTCATGGTCAAGGAAATCGTTTAGATCAATTGAATTGTCCAACTAATGTGCTGATCGACGAAAAGACGAATACTTTGATTATCTCCGATCGAGGAAATCGACGAGTGGTACGTTGGTCTCGTCGCAATGGCACTAGACAGGGAGAAATCCTTATCGAAAATATCGAATGTTGGGGATTGGCCCTGGATAATCAGAGAAATCTCTATGTTTCTGACGTCGAAAATCATCAAGTCAAAAAATATGGTATAGGAAACAAGAACGTAATTCTTGTAGCTGGTTACGGATTAGGAAGTTTAGCCGATCAATTATGCTTTCCAAGTTGCATCTTTCTCGATCAGCAACAGGATTTATATGTGGCAGATACCCAAAATAATCGCGTGATGAAATGGAATAAAGGCTCGCAGGAAGGAACTCTTGTTGCCAAATACTCTATTTTGTTCAACTTACTGACATACTCCATGTCTCCTGTAGGGCTGTTCGTCGATGGACAAGGTACCCTCTATGTAGCAGAGTCGGGGAATAATCGAGTGACGCGTTGGCCTCAAGGATCAAACCAGACCACTATCATTGTTGGTGGAAATGGTTACGGAGAAGCAGCTAATCAGTTTCAAAATGTCCGTGGTTTATCTTTTGATCGCCATGGAAATCTCTTTGTCGTCGATGGAGGTTCAGGATTCTGGGGAGGCAATCATCGTGTTCAACGTTTTTCTATCGAATAAAATTGTATTTCTATGAATGAATTCGTTTCTTCTTCTATTCAAACGTAGGTGCACATGACTAGGAACTCCGTTGGTATTTCATAGCGAATGTAAATGTAAAACTCATGTACAAAAAGCACATATAGCTTTGCTGCCCCTGCTCGTTCGTGAGATTCGTAATGAATCTAAGAGATGCGGTACATACCATAGACATGTGAGTTGCTGATCACGTTTTCAGAGTCTACTTGAAAGGCTTCTATTTAGATTTAATCTACAAAAGTAAGAAAAAAAAATACAAGCTCCTACGTGACTATGTAATCGATTAAGTTGTGCATTATCTAAAGAGAAAAGGGTGGGTGTGGGTGTGGGTAGGTGTGAGTGCGGGCACCATATAGTCCCATAAAAACCTACCCACACCCAATAAGTATCATCAGGAAATAATCGAATGAAATGATTAAACTAGTTCCAACTTCCAAATGCATACCAAGTGAAAGCATTTCATTATCTAGAATAACATATCTGAAATGTTAATATGCACAGATAGATGTCTCGATGAA